TTTTTCTCTTTCTCAATACAATTCCATCAATANAATTGCTCTTTTTTACGTGCTTTTATTTAACTTTCTTTTTGTAAATATCACATCTATAGAATTCATTTCTAGAGCATTTATACAAGAGAAAAAATGGATTAGATCTAATTTAAATCTAGCGAGATAAAAAAAATAAATCTAATTAGATCTAAATTAAATCTGAATAGATATAAAGTAGATCAAAATAAATATAAAGTATATCTAAATAGATATAAGTAAATCTATGTAAATTTACACTTTTATTTATTATTAGATCTACTTTTGATCTACTCAGATCTATTATATTAGATCATCTCAGATCTGTTCGGATCTGCTTAATTCTAAGTAACTTTGAGTACTTTTAATATAGTAGATCTGAGTAGATCTAAAGTAGATTTAATAATATATAAAAGAGTGTAAATTTACATAAATCTACTTCATATTTATTTACATCTACTTTTTATTTATTTAGATTTAATTTGGATCTAATTAGATCTATTTTCCTATTATTTTATTTCGTTAAATTTAAGTTAGATTTAATCCATTTTTTTCGAGTAATCCACTTAAAACTTTAAAATTTTGTGCAGATGGGTATTGTAGATGTGTTATAAACAAGAAGACATGAATCTGCATCTTTTGTGAATATTTTTATAGTTTATGGCCAATCTCAAAACCACCAAAAATTAAAATCGTTGTTTATAATTGTTTTGTTTGTTGAATTTGTTTAATGAGTAACAGAATTAAGTGTATCTAGTATATACTTAAATTACTTTAAATTATATTTTTATATTTCAACTAGTTTTTGAGTTATTTCTAATTGAATATATTAAATATCCTATTTATTAATTATGAATTTAGCAATATGTAGTGTTCGTTTTGGTCGCATTTTAAAGAGTAAAGCTTTATCTTTATTTACAAAAAAAATTAGCTACTAGCTGCTACTGGGAAAGTTATAGAGGTAAACATTTACTCTGATATTAAGAAATATGTGTTAGCTGTGCGACCGAGATCACTCTAGCATAATTCACGAAATTCATTTGTTTGTTTTTGTCGCTTATGACAGCGAGCGACCAATAAGAAAAAAACTGACAAGTGTTCTCGCTCCGAAGAGTTCTCGCTGCATAAAACGAGAACGAATTTGGAATATGTTTTTATATTAAAACCATCTTTTGCACCACTTTTTATTTTTCTATTGCACTAAATATTACTCACGACTATTGCACTAAATATTACTGTCACAGACAAATGTTCTAAATTCATTCTCGTTTTATGCAGCGAGAACTCTTCGGAGCGAGAACACTTGTCAGCTTTTCCCTTATTGGTCGCTCGGTGTCGTGAGCGACCAAAACAACCAAATGAATTTCGTGAATTATGCTAGCGCACGACAAGAGTGCGACCGAGAGTGATCGGTCTCGCTCGCACAGCTAACACATATTTTTTAATATCATGAATGTTTACTTCTGTAAACATTTTTTCTTTCCCAGTAGCAGCTAGTAGCAGCTAAGTTTTTTAAAATAAAGTTTTTTTTAAATAAAGGCTTCACTCTTTAAAATGCGACCAAAGCGAACACATATTGCTAAATTTGTAATTAATAAGTAGGATAAAAATTTAATATATTCAATTAGGAATAATACAAAAACTATTTGAGATATAAAAATATAATGTAATGTAATTCAAGTATATACTATAAGTACTTAATTCTGTTACTCATTAAACGAATTCAACAAACAAAACAATTATAAACAACAATTTTAATTTTTGGTAGTTTTGAGGTTAGCCATTTCAAAACCTTACAGCAGTATCCAACATTGACAAATGATAGAAAAAATTGCACTAAATGATAGCCCATATGTCCAATTAACAATTGATGAATAAATTTTTCATTATCCGCATACTTTTATAAAATGACTTTTTACTGCTTTTTTGGTCATTTGCGCCACTGTGTGGCGGTCATATACAGGGTGTCCCATAATTGCCGTCTCACCGCTTGTAGATAAGAAGAAAAGGTTATCCTAAGACTAAGAAAAAGTCCTATACTACTTTGGAAGATTCAGAATAATTAACAAGATATAAATTAATAAAGATTCGCTAATCAGCGTGCATCCAGCGTAAGGGGAGCGTAAGGACAATCTAGTCTTCCTCGCGGATAGCGCGCTCCCCGAACGCAGCTTATATGCTGTTTATGTATTGGTGTACATGCTATTCTATTAGCTCCTCCCATTTTACCGTAACGGCGCGTGAGACTGGGCTGTCCTTACGCTCCTCTTACGCTGGATGCACACTGATTAGAAGATCTTTATTAATTCATATCTCGTTAAGTATTGCGAATCTTCCAAAGTGGTATAGGACTTTTTGTCTTAAGAATAACCCCTTCTTCTTGCCTACGAGCGGTGAGACGGCAATTATGAGATACTCTGTATATAAAGAAAAGTTGTTCACAATGTTGACCTTGACAACATATTTCAAGCTCATCAAAATCGGTATAAGAAAGCTTCAAATCTAAATAATTACCATAGTTTAATATAAACACACATAATACCTACGCAAAACATGATAAGCTTGGAAAGTATACTCGGCGTCATAGATTTGTTTTGTAGACGCGGGGAGCTAAGAGTAAGAGGAACGATATTCCTAGCAGTAAGTAGCGCCAATGGGCGCTGTGTCGATAATGTCAATGCTTTTCTTGACTAATTGTGTCTCAAAACGTAAAACTATTGGCCATATACAGGGTGTTTCAGAACTATGGGATCAAACTTCTAGGGGTTATTCAGTGCAACAGTAGAAAACATTTGAGTATAGGGACCCATGTCCGGAAAAGTGTCACTACCGCACTACGGCCCTAAGACGCGTTAAAATTTAGAAAGAC